ACAAGGGCTCTCAGTAGTTTACCAGATATTCTACCAGATGGTTTCCAATTCCTTTGAGTGGTAGCGTGAACAAATTAGAGCACATGGTGAAGAAGACAAAGTGTATTTTCAAGTGCGCTCTAATTGCACACATGTATTTGCAGTACCCATTCTCTTGTGTTTTCCAGTTACTTATTCACGCTAGCAGAAGCACATGCTAGAACTTTAATGGAAAACTGAAGAAAGAGAAATTTTGATTCTACTTTGCTGGTCATTAAATTCAAATTTTTAGGGATTGGATTAATTTTTTAGTTCTTCTTACCCCTTTTTTAAAATCCGCTTGCAACATCAAAATTACCATTGAAACCTCATTTCTGCCTTCAGCAGTTCATAAGGAGAAAGTACGCTTTTACACAAGGCCTTGTATTTTTGGATAGCTTGTGGCTCAAGTGGTTCCCTGACACTAACACAGCACATCACGCTCCACAAGCAGATACCCTGCAGCCCCTCTGTCTTCATTTGGGTTCCCTCAAGTTTCAAAAGTGTCCAGAGGCCTGTGTTGCAGGTGGGGTTTGTGTGCTTGGCTGAGTGCTCTATACCCGGGCATAGAGTCACTCAGTTAATTATACAAGCAGAAAAATACGGTTTTCTGCTCTTTTACTGCTGCCAGAATTAGGCCTTGTACCTGTGGTCTGATTTCCTCTGTGTAGCTTTTAATCTGATTATTTACTGGTTAATGATTGCTCTCTGTTTTATATAAAAATATGTGGAATTCCCAGAAGCTTTGATTATCTCTAAAAGACAAGAACATACTTACATGCAGTAGGATGAGTGACTCAATGGAATATTTTCTGATACAAATGTTTGAAAAGGAAAAAAAATAATCAGACATAGCCCAGAGGAACAGTAGATGAGGGTAAAAAAACTCTGTAGTCTGTCTTCAGTGCCATCATGTGAGCCAGCGTGGTGCTTCGTGACTCTGTTTACTAGCTGGAGCGGGTGGCATGATGTGATTTATTTCAAAAACTCTTGGGGAATAGAAGTGAGATTTGTGAGGAGTTTAGAATACTATGGGTGAAAAGTGGTACATGTCTGCAAACCAGAATTGTTAAAGCATTTTGAGGCAGTTCTTCCTTTCTACACTTCCATAAAGTAGGAAGGGGAAAAAAAAGACCATGCAGAAATTTGTTATAAGGTGCAGATACTAATGCAAGCTAGCCCTCTTTTTGCACCTCTGTGTTGAGGTGTGAGTTGTGCAAAGCACTTGGCACTGTTCAGCATGACATCCTTGTCGCTAAATTGGAGAGACATGGATTTGACAGATGGACCACTTGGGGGATCAGGAATTGGCTGGATGGCCACTCTCAAAGCCAGTTGTGGTCAACGGCTTGATGTCCAAGTGGAGATCAGGGATGAATGGCGTTCCTCAAGGGTCGGTATTGGGACCAGAGCTGTTTAACATCTGTGTCAGCAAGATGGACAGTGGGATTGAGTGCAACCTCAGCAAGTTTGCCAGCGACACCAGGCTGAGTGTTCCAGTCAACACACCTGAGGGACAGGAGGCCATCCAGAGGGACCTGGACAGGCTGGAGAAATGGGCGCATGTGAAGTTCGATGAGGCCAAGTGCAAGGTCCTGCACCTGGGTTGGGGAAATCCCATGCACAAATACAGGCTGGGGGACGAGCGGATTGAGAGGAGTCCTGGGGAGAAGGACTTGGGGGTGCTGGTGGATGAAAAGCTGGACATGAGCCAGCAACGTGTGCTCGCAGCCCAGAAAGCAAATCGCTTCTGGGCTGCTTCAAGAGAAGCGTGGCCAGCAGGTGGAGAGGGGGGTTCCTCCCTCTCTAGTCTGTGCTGCTGAGACCCCACCTGGAGTACTGTGACCAGCTCTGGGGCCTGCGGTATAAGAAGGGCTTGGACCTGTTGGAGTAAGTCCAGAGGAGGACCACGAAGATGACCAGGGGGCTGGAGCACCTCCCCTGTGAGGACAGAGTTGGGGCTGTTCAGCCTGGAGAAGGGAAGGCTCTTGGGAGACCTTATAGCGGCCTTCCAGTGCTTAAAGGGGGCCTGCAGGGAAGGTGGGGAGGGACTCTTGGTCAGGGAGTGTGGTGATAGGACAGCGGGGGAACAGTTTCAAACTGGAAGAGGGGAGATTTGGATTAGATATTGGGAAGAAATTCTTTCCTGTGAGGGTGGTGAGGCACTGGCACAGGTTGCCCAGAGAAGCTGTGGCTGCCCCCCCCCTGCAGTGTTCAAGGCCAGGCTGGATGGGGCTTGGAGCAACCTGATGTAGTGGAAGGTGTCTCTGCCCATGGCAGGGGGGTTGGAACGAGATGGTCTTTACGGTCCCTCCCAACCCAAACTGTTCTGTGATTCTGTGAGTTTATTTGATACACAATACGTTGCCCATTCCTGTTTATTTCAGAGCATAGCAGGTCATTGTGCTGAGCATAGGAAAGATGGATGTCAAATCAGAAATTTTGTGATGTGGAAAATGGAAGTACTTACTGCAGAAGTGAAAATTGCACTAATGCAGATAATAACTGAGATACAGTGTCCTTATCAACTACATGAGATATGTTTGAGGGGCCTTTACACTTTCTCCCCATCACCTTGAACAACACTTATGCTACTGTGATTTCTCCGCCCCTTTGCTACTACTCTCATCTGACAGCCCCTAGAATGAGAATGACATTGCTGCTTCTGTAATGCTGCATGTCATCAGTCTGCTATTTGTGAAGAATGCGACATGGAAAAGTCCTAGAAGGCGAATGCCTTTGACAAGCAGGTCACGCAGCAGTGTTGCTGGTCTTGCTGTACTGTGTCCCCTGCGTATCTGAACCATTGACCAAGAAATGTATTTATTTTTTCATCCATATTTAGGATTAAAGTCTTGTCAGGACACAAACTATCTAAAAATAACTGGACATAACACCTCTTGAAGTAGTGCAGAGCATCCACAAAATACCGTGGTTAAAAAAACAAAACAGTTTTTTACGTCAACCTACAATGCGCTTTCTGTGGCTTGTTTTGTACCATTATGCTCTGGGTTTCCCTAAATACCTGTGGCATTGTTTACAGTGCTTTGAGAAAAAGAGCTTTTGGGAAGTTCCCTGAATTGCTGCTTGTGCTCAGCATTTGGGTGTTGTATACATGTTTGTTTAGTCCCCAAAGGCCATAGCCAAGAAAGGCCTAGCTCGTGTCACAGATGGGCAGTCCTGGCCCCTTACTAGGGCAGTGGGTGTTAGGAGGGATCGTTCTGTTGACATTAGGTGGAGTTGGGGAGGGCAGTGCTTAGGACGGGCATGAGGAAATGCCGGGATGTTCAGACTCAGTGACCAAAATCCTCCGTAGGCTGTTGCCCCGGTAACTGAGCAGCAGAATTGCTCCTGCCGAGACCGAGAGCCACAGCGACCAGGTGTCCCTGTGTGTTCTCATCAGTTGACATGCTGGCTTTCCACCCAGCGCACATCCGTGTGCCAATGGGCTGTCCTTTGCTAACTGGGAGTAGCCTACGGATTGGTGAAGGAACCCGTTTGCTGCTTCTGGTGGAGGCCTGAGGTGGAGCGGAGCACGGGTGCAGCTGGCAGCTGCGTATCGGGCGTTGCTCCCTGGCGTGCGTGGGTGCCATCGTGGCGTTAGCAGCAGACTTGGCGCAAGTATAGAGTCCTTCCTGAAACAGTGCAAGGGGTTGTGTGGGACAGGGACTTCACTTGTGCTGAGAAGTCAGTAGAGTGTGCAGAAGTATCTGCTGCTCCGGGGTCCAGCCTGCGACGTATTTCCACAGCCCAGCCGGGCAGAGCCTGTGAAGCATCAGTGTTCAAGAGTAAGCTCATAACGGGGGGTCCTGCTGCTGCCCTGACCCTGCTGCTACCCTGAGTAACGGCCGTGCTTGTGCATATCTTTGGCTTGGCTTTTGTTGTGGTCGCAAATGCTTCACCTTTTTTTGGACAGGGCTCTGGTAGCTTCGTGCGTCTTTGGTCATGTTTCCTCTCCTCCTGTCCTCCTCCCTCTCATAGGTTCAGTCTCTTTCTCCTTCTGCTCTCTTTTTGACCAATGCACTTGCTGTTTCTGCAACCTCATTCTCTCTTAGACTTGGGTCATGATCTTTGTGTTGCTTTGCTTCTCAGTGGGGCACTGGGAAAATTGCGTCTTTGAACAGGGGAGCCTTTGCATGCTTAGAACAGGGGAAAACATCTTCTAGATCCTGCTTGTGTTGTGATCTTAGCTGTACATGATCAGACTATTTGCCAACTGTAATTTAGATTTCCAGACATTGTTGAGGAGCAATAGATTGTGTTTATGCAAATTTTTAATACATACTGCCAAGCTGATTTATAAAAGTGAATATAGATTATTCTTATTTTATGGGTGAAAGCGAATTGGTGAGTTACCATTTCATGGAAGGTCAGTGACAGAGATAGGATTTATTTTCCCAGGTTTTTTGATGCTTGTTACTACAGTATACCTTTGCCTTTGGAGCAAATCTGTGATTGTATCTGCAGTTTTTAGGTTCTTAAGGTTATTGTGTTTATTAGATAAGTAATACCTTCACAGGTAATTTTTTAAGCTACTGATCAATAAAATGTTGCGCTGAACCAGATCGTTGTTTCTGCAGTGGTTGTTGCTGGCCTGGATTAGTCCTTTGTCCCTACTTGTTCTGAGGCTCCACAGGAGCTTGTAGCAGGGGACACACAGGAATGGCTGGAAGTGGTCGAGAGGAGGGATGGGGAATGGCATGAGACAGCGTTTCCTCGGAGAGAAATGCCTGTGAACCTATGGATATTTAGGCTTCTTGATAGTGATTTCAGCAACACATGTCATACAGCAGTCACTGGGGGATTTTTAGCAACTTCAATTTGTTTAACTTTCCATTGATACTCCTGCAGAGACAGTAATGTGTTTGGGTATGCTCTGGGTCAGTCAGCACCATTACTCCATAAAGGGATATTTCAATAATATGGAAAGTAAAAGTCTTTCAGAACTAACTTCATCTTTTGTATTTTGGCAGGTTTAAAAAATGGCTGAAGATGGCAGTGATGAGATTATATTTGTTTGTAAGTATTAGAAAGGAAAATTACCTCGCTCTTGGAATGTGACTTGTCTACTTAGAATGTTTGAAATTAAAGACTGAAACAGACTAAGTTTTTATTGAGAAAAGTATTTATGTGAAGGAAGCTCAATGACCTTATGGAGGAGTAGAGAGAAGGTTGCTCATTTTAAGCACACATGTTCTCCTGGTTTTGTTGGCAAACACACAGAGACCTCTCAATGTCAGTTAGCAGAAACAGCTTTTTCATAGTTGAAGTGAGTGAGATTGAAAGCCTAACACTAGTCTAAGCGCTTCGTTTAGCCAGCTTTAGCAACCAGGAGTGTCTGTGGGGAACTCTGACCTCTAGCCTGAGTTGAAGATCTGCACCTCCACAGGAGGAGCATGCCGGCCCATTATTCTTTCTGGACAAGCCCAGTGTGAGATGCACCAACTGCCCTGACAAGTCTCACTCACAGCATTCGCTGTGTTTTCTTGTGCCCCTGTGGCTAGGCCTGTGCATCATGCAGCTCGGCTTTGTGGTCAGCCTTCTAGGTACCCCTGTGTGCCAGACTGGGCTCTGTGATACGGGATCTGGACTCGTGGGGTCATGGCGCGTGAAGAGGGGCTGCAGCACTGGTGTGCCCAGGGAGCGTGGTGGGCAGTGTCCCATTCTTGATGGAGCTTGGCTAGTCGGCTTGTTTCCCGGTGGCGTACTAGCCCTGCAGCCTCTCCTTTGTCACCAGCCTGGACGTGCAGGATCTGGTGTTACAGTGGAAAAAAAAAGTTAAGAGATGTAGAGTCTGCTCATCTACTTGTATGAGCAGAGAAGGCCCAGATATTGTGAATCCGTTGTGGGAAGGGCAGAATGGAGTGTATGTCTGTGATGCCCTGGATCCACAGTCTTTTAGCCCTGATGGCTCCACACCTGCATATTAACCTTATGGCAACTGTATTGGAAAGTTCCACTTTTCCCTGTGTTTCTCCTGTGGCTGTAGTCTCTTGAAAGTGTCACATATGGTGAGTGTAACAGCCTTGGGGAATGTCTCCTGTAAGGCATCCCTTAGATTTTGAGAGACATGCTACACAATGTCAGTATTGTATTCCCCTTGCTTTGATCATTCATCTGCAAAGGAGTGAGAGAAATGCGTAACTTATTTCTGCATATAGTTTTGGACAGTGCTGTCTGCACCTTGTTGAACCTGTGCAGTGGCTATCTTTGCAGAAGTGAGGGGTGCTTAGGTGCAGTCGAAAGATAAGGGGAACGACCAACTGCTTTGTTTCCTGTGGCAGCAAAGCCTGCTTAAGAAGCGGTCGCTCCAGCTATTCCTTCCTGTCCCCGTTGGTTATGACAACCCTTTGTGGATGATAATCCAGTTCTTTTCAGCAGTCTGGTTTGCACATTCCTCTGTGGCTCCTCTACCCTTTCTGGTTTGGAAATTTGTATTTAGCCCCTATTATTTCAGTAATATTAAGTGCAGGGTGAGCTACAGGCACACCTAAGGGCAGTGGTGGTACGGTAAACAGCGCAGGACTGGGGAGGCCATTTGGCTGTAGGCTTTGTTTTGATGCTGGTCCAATGTGGATAGCACTTGCCTGCAGATCCTTTCCTCTGATACATCTATCTGGTGCTGCACAGCAAACTGGACTGGGAAATGCATTCAGCTGAAAAATAAACTGATGGGAAAAGCTGATTGTTTCATTCCCTGGTTCACCAGAAGGCAGTACAAACAGCTGTACAGGAGGCAGCGGCCAGGCTTGGAGGGGTTGCACAAGCTGGTACTGCCATTTGTACCACAAACGTATGTGGATTTTCACTGCTAATGTGTTTTTGTTGCCAGAAGAAGAAACAATGTGGAGCTGTGCATTGTAATTTAGGATCCCTTTTCCACGTCTTGGAAGAAATCTTTTTGGTAGTTCACTGGGCCAAATACCGGGAGGGAGAGGTTTTCAGTTAGGAGTACAAAGTAGCTTTATCAGAGGGGACATACCCCAGAATGACATGACGTCTTGTTCTTGTCCCAGACAAGGTGTAACCACCCTCTACTTTGCATCCTTACTGGGGTTACCTGGCTTGCCCTTGTGAGCATGGAGCTCAGATGGAAATCGCACTATAGGAATGTAACCCCTGTGCAATGATTTCTTCTTAAGCTGCATCAGCAGCTGACTGGGCAGGGCAGTTTGACAGCTATTTTTCACAGTGAAGCAATGTATATGCATTTGAAATCCTGTTAAGTTGGCTTATTTTAGAAAGCCTCAAATTATCCTGGTCTGAAAACTTTCTTAGGAGCCATTCAGTTCTGGGTAATTTACAGCCACTTAAACGGAAAGTTAATTTAGGTAAGCTGGCAGTGAATTAAGAAGTGGCCAAAGCGTATTGCGCAGCCAGCTGACTTATTTGGAAAGGCAGTGGAAGGTATCTTAGAGGTACTTCTCCCTGCGCTGTGGGTGAGGAGTGTGAGCAGGCCAGGCGTGGCTCAGGGCAGAGCTGGGCTCACAGCGGGCTCGTGCCCTGCTGAGGCCCTGTGCCAGTTCTGCTACTAGTACTGCGTTTGTGCCTGCTGTCGCTAAAAAGACCACGCTACCCAAGCTGTTTCTGAAAGCCTGGCTTCTGGTGAAGGCAGTAATGTGGTTTTCTTTAGCTGCTAGATGTTATGGCACTTCATCTGAAGAATAATGCCATCTTTAAGCAGAATATTTACTGTGGACCTAAGGCAATTATTTTCCTTTGAGAGAGAATTTAAACAATTGTCTTCTGATAGTACTGGTCACTGTGTGTGTTATCTCGCCTACACAGATGCCAGCTATCAACTTGGTGTTCAATTATACATGTTCTTTTAAGCAATATAAATAAACATCTGCCTCTAGATGTATGTATTTTGCCTGGTGCTAGATTTTGTATTTGGCTCTTGAAAGAAGGAGGCAGCTGTCTTACAGAAGTGTTTTCCATCAACCTTTCTGTATTCTGTCTGCTTCCTTGCAGGGTGTGAGGACTGTGGGCAGTACCATGATTCAGAGTGTCCTGAACTGGGCCCAGTGGTGACAGTCAAAGACTCTTTTGTATTGAGCAGGGCAAGGTAAGGAACATTTATGTTAGTTCTGACTAACCCAACACGCATGTTAGTTCTTTAAAGCACGTTTGCTGTTTAATGTGTGTCATGCTGACCGCTGAAAAATGAAGTCCCCATCTATGGAAAGCACATGGCCTTGATTAAATAGAAAAATTGATGCACGCACTTAAGTGCTCTACTGAATTAAATAACTTGCTGCTCATCAGTACTTGGCTTCTTTGCTGAGGTTTCTGGCAAAAAGTCAGATAGTGCCAGACGGGATGATGACTTCTGTCTTTGTCAAATACCTGCAACTTTTTCCCCTCCACAGATGTACCGTATTGGTTTCAGAGAAGCATGTGAGGATTTCTCATTTGTATGAATGGTTATGTCCTCCTTTTTGGTATAACCTCTGTAGTTCCTCCACTGAGAAGCAAAACAAGTTGTTCTCATAATTGTGAGTCTTTATGAATGATTAGGGATAATGCTTCTCTCAGAAAACCTGTGACAGCACATGCAGAAACGTTTGTGCTTGCCAAAAGAAACAAATAGACTAAATCTAGTTAGGAGAAAACAACACTTGAGTAGTGATTTTTACAGAGAAAGGCAGTCAGGCATTGTCAGCAAAATTCATATGGAGTTGTAAAATGTAAGGCTAAGGAGAAGAAACAGCTATTGTGAAGATGCAGTACAAATCCAAAAAGGGAAGAGAGTTCAGATGGCTTTGTGTGCGATATTATGTGCTTAGTGCTTCCGTATTTCTTCCTGGGAAGTCATGAGCTGAAAACATGGGCGCCTGGGCAGCAAGTCTGGCACATGCTGGCTGTATAGGCCATGCTGTGTATTCCCAGGATCATTTCATAACAAATACCGAATGTGCTGTGTCTGCCACGTGGGTGCCATGACCCCTCTGGGCCTGGGCAGGATGCTTTTGGTGTCCCACAGTGTACACTGGCTGCACGTGTGCAGGAGCCATAGTAATTTCTCTGGGCCTTCCCAGGAAAGGAAGCTCCCTGCAGCTCCTGCCAGCTACCACCATCCTGTGCGTGGAAACCTGCTGTGGATGATGTCCTGCAGCAAGGGTTAATGGGAACTACTGTCTTAACAGGCCTCACACTGGAGGTACTTTGTTCTTGAAGGTAGTTTCAAAATGCCTGTAGAAATAAGGTGATGGAGGTGATTTTCTTACACACAGAAACCAGGCGGTGCAGTAGGTCTAGCCTGTACTAAGCAGATTCAGTGACAAGTTAAACTATCATTTCTTACCTTTTATCGCCTTGCGATGTAATGCTCCTATTTATTTGTATGGTGGAGAATTACCATAGTGTCCACATGTTCCAACTCTGAATGTGTGCAATTATGGTGCATACACTGGTTTTCAGCCTTTTTTTAACATGCAGATGCTAAGTTTTCCCTAGTGGAACTGTGGGCTGCTGGATAGTGGATTTGAAAGCAGAGTTTAAAAATGGCCATGTTAGAGAAAAATCTGTTTATTTTCCTGAAGAGTTTACAGCTGAAAACAGCTAAGATAAGAAAGGGAAAGGAGAAATATAATTGCAGCCTTTAGTTTACAACTGGGGAACAGTAGCTGAGAGAGTGGGTTGATAAGGTTGAGGGCAAGTTTAACCACAAACTAAATATGAATCTCTTAAAAACCAGTCTAGTTGCTTAACCACATGATCCTTGTTTCCTCTGTCCTACTGAAAAGATAAAATGGATGCTTTATGGTTAGAGAAGGAGTGTTAAGAAACATCTCCTGAACTTCACTGAGTCTAATATTACACATTCTGTTATTAAAACTGAAAGCATTTTTTCAGTTCATTTGCTTATCACTATGATTGCAATCTTTTTGTATTTCTCTTCATCTAGACAAGAAAGCAGATCTGCCAGTGTCAACTTCTACAGAGTAGTCAGTCTGATTATTTTCAGCTTTTCATTCGTTAGCACAGACCTGAAAAAAACAGGATTGTATTTGGTGTCATATGATTTTTTTGGAAGATGTTCTCTTAGTATTGTATGTAGTAACAATATTTACTACATCTAGTTCTTCTCAGAAGCTTGTTTGGTAAATGAGAGGGGCTGGGAGCACAGAAACACTTGATCAATGTATCAGTGTTTGTAATAAGGGAGCTAGAAGACAGAAGGGAAACTTCCAGGGCTTTCATCTTAAGGGCTATGATCTGCGTAAGCATGTAAGGTGTTAATTTGGGAAGGGATATAGATTATTTTTAAAATAAGCATGGTTGTAACCACAGATCTGTAGAGTCATCACATAATTCATTTTGGAAGGGGTCTCAGGATA